CCTCCTCTCCTTCCCGGGAACTGAGCCTCGTCCCCTCTCCCCTCCCAGGGCCGGGTGCTGCACCCGGAGCAGCACCGCGTGGTGAGCGTGCGGGAGTGCGCCCGCTCCCAGGGCTTCCCCGACACCTACCGGCTCTTTGGCAACATCCTGGACCGGCACCGGCAGGTCAGTGCCGGGGAGGGCCCATCTGGCCTGCTTTCCCGAAGCCTGTGGCTCTGCACGGCCGGCGCCCGGGAAGGTGCTTTTGTTCTGAGCCCGGCGGGCGCCAACCTCCGGCCTCCTTTCCCACAGGTGGGAAACGCCGTGCCGCCTCCCCTCGCCAAAGCCATCGGCTTGGAGATCAAGCTGTGCATGTTGGCCAGAGCCCGAGAGGGCGCCTCAGGTACGCGGGGCCCCGCCTGGAACCCCTGGTCCTGGGTCCACACCCAGAGGTGCCGTCTCCTCCGCGTGCCTGGGGCCGGGTGCACCCTGAGTCCCTGTCCTTTCCCTTCCAGCTAAAGTGAAGGAGGAGGGGACGGCTTCGAAGGCCTAGGTCACATCCGTCACCCCGATTCCACTGCCGGGAGACCCCACGTGCACTGATGTCGTCGTCGTCTAACGTGTTGAGCTGTCGGTCCCAGTGTGTCGTACACAGTGTCTGTGGCCTTGGCTGACACGAAACTGTCCGTGAGGTTTGCTTATCGACTAATGACTTAGTGATCAAACTGTGCCGTTCTTTGTGCATTCTGGATTTTAAAGGTTTTTTATTATGCATTATATCAAATCTTCCACTGTAAAGTGGAAATTAAGACTTTATGTAGTTTTTATATGTTGTAATATTTCTTCAAATAAATCTCTCCTATAAAGCACGCTGGCTTGAGACTGATTTACACGGGGCTTCCGGCTGCCTCCGCCAAGGTCATGCTGAGGAGGACACTGACATGGGTGTCCGTCGCGAGCCTGGCCCCACTATGTGTCTGAACATGCTGGAGGGTGGTGGTGAACTTGTGTGACTGTTGCGGCCAATGAGATGCAAGCGAAACGTGCTAGTGTGGCCTCCAGGACTGACCTTGGCTAGCATTCTCCAAGGCTTTCTTGCACTTCTTTGGTCTGGAGTGGTCTGTGATGCCTGGTGATGCAGCAGCAATCTTGTGACCATGAGGACATAAGCCCTGTGCTGTGGCTGGTGAAAGGGAGAGGGGTTCACCGCTGAGTTGCCCAAGCCCTGGGTTCCCCATGTTCACCCAAGAAAGCCTCTGTTTGTGGAAGACTCCTAGCTGTGGTTCCGCACTTCAGCCTAATTTGAATCTGCTGAATTCTAAGCCAAGCAAAGTACTTGGTTTGTCTTTGGGGGACGACACGCTGTAAACACCAACAGAAGAGCTGGTCACTGGGTTGAAGACCCAGGCCACTAGGACTTCTCTGCACGTACTTTGCCAGGTGGCTGCCTGCTTCGTTTCAGTTGTCAGGTCCTCGGTGGGTCGCAAGGCTGGAGGACCAAATTAACACAAGCGACTGAGCCGGGCTAGGCGGTGCGCTTGGGAGGCTGAGGCAGGAGGATTGAGTTTGAGCCCACCCTGGGTTACATAGGAAGTTGGAGGCCTCCTAGAACACGGCAGAAGCCTATCAGTCTCCAAGAAAACCGGGGCAGGGCTGGGCTTGTAGCTCAGTGCAAAGGCCCTGGGTTCAGCCCCCAGTTCTGGGAGGGTCGTGGGTGATAGGCGGGGTGCTGCTCAGTTACACCACCTGCCCGGCAGGCATCCCCTGCACTGCAGAAAACAGATGGAAAACAATAGGCTGATGTAATTGTGTCTGGAATTTTTCTTTTCCTTTTATTTATTTTTTTCAGTACTAGGAAGCAAACTTGGGACCCTGCACTTGCCAGGCAGGCGCAGAGCCACTAAAGCTAAATCCTCAGCCCTCCTTTGAACTTTGTTGTTTTGAGATAAGTTCTCACTGTGTAGCCCAGGCTGGCCTCAAACTTTTGATACTCCTGCCTCAGCCTCCTGAGTCCTGGGGTGATGGGTGACTGGATTTTAGCTTTTAAAGCCTTTTTTTTTTTTTTTTTTTTTGAGACAGGGTCTCACTATGTAGTTGAGACTGACCTGGAACTCACTGTGTAGCCCCAGCTGGTCTCAAACTTACAGCGATCCTCCTGCCTCAGCCTCCCGTGCTGGGATTACAGGTGTGCGCCACTATGTCCGGCTTAAAGCCATTTTTAATAATTAAAAACAGAAAAAGGCAGTTGGGTGCAGTGGTACACATCTATCGTCCCCAGCAACTGTGGAGACTGAGGCAGAGGGATTGCAAGTTTGATCCAGGTGAGGCAATTTAGCAAGAACTTGTCTCAAAAAGGCGGGGGCTTTTTCTTTTCTTCAGTCCTGGGAATCAAACTTGGGACCTTGCACGTACCAGGCAGGTGCGATGCCACGGAGCTACATTCTCGACCCTTTTTATTTTCTTTCGAGATTGGTTCTCCCTGGATTTTGCAGCCTGGCCATGAACTGGCCTTGAACTCGGCCACCCGCCTGGCCCAGCCTCCTGAGGGCGGGAGTCACAGGCTTGCACCACCACGCCTGGCTGATGTCACGTATTCAAGGCCCTCCGGGCTGTGCTGTGGGCTGCGCCAGGCTCAGGTTGTGGGTTAAGTCTTGATCCCTATGTAGGTTGAATCATACCATTGTATGCATGGACCACACTGTTAACTGCGTCACTGACTTTGGGGATGATGCTGGTGATGATCTTTCCTGTGTGGTAATATCTGTGCAGCTAAGCCTGTTGATGCATGCACGCAATCCCAGCATTCTTAGGAGGCTGAGGCAGGAAGATCGCAAGTTTGAGGCCCACCTTCGGTGACTCCCTGTTTCAACATGAAAAAGGGCTGGGGATGTAGTTCAGTGTGAAGACCCCGAGTTAATCTCCAGTGCTGGGAAAGGAAAACAAAAATCTGTCCAACCTCCTAGTTTTACTTCTTTTGGGGTACAAACCAGAAATGGAATGTTTTGCTTGTTTTTGAGACAGAATCTCATTATATAGTTCAGGATGGCCTTGAACTCCCTCCTGCTTCGGCCTCCTGAGTGGTGCCACTAAGCTACATCCCCGGCCCCTAGAAGGTTTTAATTGTGGGAATGAATTTGGGTGCAAGTTACCCTGACCTCGACTACTATGCCACCTCCCATTGAGCCCTACGGTGTCACAGGCCGTGTCTCTGGTCTCTGTTGTGGCCATTGGCGGAGAGGTTGTGCCACCCTGTGCATCCCCGCAGGGCTCCTGAGTCCCGTGGGCTTCAGGAGGATGAGCTTCTTAAAATGAGCCAATGGAGGCCTTCACTCTCCAGCCTGCACTGCTCACAGCCCACTTGGGACATAATCAAAGGGGCGGTCCCCACAAATCACCGTACCATCTTCCGTGGAATCAGGTTTTTTTTTTTTTTGAGACAGGGTCTCACTATGTAGTTCAGACTGCTCTGGAACTCACTGTGTAGCCCAGGCTGGTCGCAAACTCACAGCGATCCTCCTGCCTCAGCCTCCCCGAGTGCTGGGATTACAGGTGTGCACCACCACGCTGGGCAGGGTTTTTGTTTTTAGTGAAACACCAGATCCCCATCTACTTCCCAAGACTACGACCATCGGAATGCTGCCCTGTGTTCTTCCTGCTCACAGTCGTCACCACCTCTGTACACTCAGGGTTTCCTGAGCCAGGTGGGATTGGGGACTTTGCTCAGTGATTCTGTCACTCTGCCTGCCTCGCAAGTGCCAGGTCCTGAGTTTGATCCCCTGGACCAAACAAACAAACAAACAAACGAAAAAAAACAAGGGCCGGGAGTAGGGAGACTAAGGCAAAGCCAGCCTGGGCTACATAGGGAGACTGAAAAAAAAAAAAAATCAGACACTGTTGCTAAACCAGGCCCACTCGCCAGCCGGTCAATCACTGAGGCCATGAGTTTTGCAAATGTGATCCAAAGGCTGCCACACCTGGAGGAGGTGGGAGACCCAAGTCTCAAATCTGCCTCTGAGCAGGTGAGAAGCAAGGTGAAGGCAGGTGAGGTGGCCCTGGACTGCCATCCCCGCTGAGGCTGAGGCAGGAGGGTTGCAAGTGCACATCCAGCCTCTGCAACTGAGCAACTTAGACTATCTCAAAATATTTGATAAAAAGGGCTGGGCTGGAGCTCAGGGCAAAGGCGCTAGGTTCAGACCCCAGTACAGGTTGGTGGCAGCAGGCAGGGTGTATGACCCTCCGCGAGTTTAAGGGGTGGGAAAAGGGGATGGGGGCGGTCTCGGTCTCCTTGTTCTATTTTATTCCCTTCCATTCTGCCCTCTACTGGCCTTCCAACATAATTTTTCTTAGAAGAAAAGTGGGGTCACACTAGGACACTGATCGAAATACTTCAGCGACCCGTACATCCCTACAGCTTTAAGAAGAAGGAATGGCCAGGTATGGGGATGCACACCTGTCATCCCAGCATCTGGGAGGCTGAGCCAGGATCACCACAAATCTGAGGCCAGTCTGGACTACGCAGTGAGTTTAAGGCCAGTCTGAACTACATGATGAAATCCTGTTTAAAAAAAAAAAAGCTGGGGATTTAGCTCAGTGGTTCTGCTGTGCCTGCCTTGAAAGTGCAAGTTCCCTAGTTTGATTGCTGGTAGAGGGGGGAAAAAAAAAGCCAAAAAAACTGGGCATGGTGGCGCATGCCTGTAATCCCAGCACTTGGGAGGCTGAGGGAGGAGGATCGCTGTGAGTTCAAGGCCAGCCTGGGCTACATAATGAGTTTGAGGCCAGACTGAGACCTGTTTCACTACATAGTGAGACCCTTAAAAAAAAAAAAAAAAAAAAAAAAAAAAGGGAGGGGGGGAGCCCGGGATTTAGTTCAGTGGGACCGCACCGGCCTCAAAAGCACAAGGTCATGAGTTCGATCCCCAGTACAAAAAACTTTCAAAAAAATAAAAAAACAGGCACACTAATTTAACATTATTATTATTATTAAAATGTAATAGGAGAGCCGGGCGTGATGGCGCACGCCTGTAATCCCAGCACTTGGGAGGCTGAGGCAGGAGGATCGCTGTGAGTTCGAGACCAGCTTGGATTACATAGTGAGTTCCAGGTCAGTCTCAACTACATAGTGAGATCCTGTCTCAAAAGACCAAAAAAGAAAAAAAAAAAGTGGTAGGATAAACAGACAAGCCTTTCTCCTCCTACTGTACCTGCAGCGCCCAGTTGCGCGCGCGCACTCGGCGTCTCCACACCCGTCCGCAGGGGGCGCTGTGGACACCGCCGGCTGGGTCGCTCTAGGCGACGTTAAGATCTCCGGAAGTCTCGTTCTTCTCTCCTTCCGCTCTCGGGCGAGCTAGGGCTGCGTGGAGCGAGGAGTTAGCGATGCCGGCCGGAGACTTTGAGTGAGTACGGTCCACCGGGGGTGCGGGGGGTACTCGAGAGCGGATCTGGGGGCTCTGGGGAGTGCTACGAGCCCGGGGTGCGCCGGGACCGCGGAGGCTGGGCCTCGCTAACCCAGCCCTCCCCTCCCCGCAAACTTGTCCCGCAGTTCGAAGCCCAGCTGGGCCGACCAGGTGGAAGAGGAGGGCGAGGACGGTGAGCACGGTGCCCGGTCGCCCCGAGCCGCCGAGGCAGCCCCAGCCCGGCCAGGGTGACTCACACTGCGGCCTCACCACCCTTTGCCAACTTCGATGCCACTGCCCGAGTCCTCACAGCTGCAGCGGGCAGGAAGTTGGAGCCGCCTGACCCCCCCCTTCACGCCCGGGGTCCCCCCTCGTCGCCAGCGCGATGCTTGGCCGGTTCCCTGCCCTCCTCCGCTCCCTAGAGCCTGCCCCAGTTCGGGGTTCCTCTCTTCCCCCGGCCGACCCGCCCTCCCCCCTCTCCTCCCGGCAGACAAATGTGTCACCAGCGAGCTCCTCAAGGGGATCCCCCTGGCCACTGGCGACGCCAGCCCGGAGCCCGAGCTCCTGCCTGGAGGTGAGCGAGCGCTTCCGCCTCTTCCCGGCCTCGAACCGCCCAGTCCCGGTACCCAGGGCTCAGCTCTCCTCCTCATCTCTTCCCCCTCCCCCAGCCCCACTGCCGCCTCCCAAAGAGGTCATCAGCGGAAGCATCAAGACGGTGACAGAGTACAAGGTAGATGAGGACGGCAAGAAGTTTAAGGTGAGGCCGGGCGGCCCCGGGGGTGCAGTGCTCGTGTGCTTGCACGCTTGGACCTGGGTCGGTGGGCAAATCAGATCCCCTGGACCTGGGAACCTGGGACCCCGGAGCCTTGACCGCTCTCCTCCTGCCCGCAGATTGTCCGAACCTTCAGGATCGAGACCCGAAAGGCCTCAAAGGCTGTCGCCAGGAGGAAGGTGAGACCTTGTTCCCCCTCTGGGGGCTCCGCCGGCGGCTGGGGGCACCAGGGGAGTTGGGAATCCCTGCTTGAGGCAGAGTCTGTAAGACCCTCAAAAGTCTGGGGTGCGAGAGTGGGGGGGTAGATCATCCTCATTATTATTTTGCAGTGCTGGGGATTGAACCAAGGGCCTTCACACAGAGCCGAGTCCTTGCTACTTTTTTCAGTTTATTATTACTTGCGTAATACAGAGCATGATGTTCACTTTCCTTGTGGGGAGTTGGTCCCTATGCCCCGCCACCTTGGTACCTGGGACTGAACTCGGGACCTTGGGTTTGCAAGGCAAGCGGTGGAGTCATGGAGCAGAATCAAGGCCCACAAATCTTGCTCTTATCGGGAGTGTTCACGTGGTTCAGTGATGCCCATGCCTCCCAGGGTTGGTGAGCATCTGGGGCCTGGCGCGGCACGCTTAGGAACTGTCACCGTTACTACCGTTACCATTTTGGGGAGTGTTTGCAGGTGGTGAAAACGGGACAAGTCTGGGTGTGGCAGAGCATTCTGGGGAGGCTGAGGCAGGAGGCTCACAAAGTCTAGCACAACCTGGCCGTCTTAGTTGGGGATGTAGCTCACTGTGAAAGCCCTGGGTTCAATCCCCATTACTGCCAAAAAAATATAGGGTTCAAGGTCCAGACACTCTGGGGGTAGCGTGCCCCAGGCTGTGACTCCCCACCTCCCTTTGTCTTGACCTGCCCTCTCTCCCTCCCTGCGCCCAGAACTGGAAGAAATTCGGGAACTCAGAGTTTGATCCACCAGGGCCCAACGTGGCCACCACCACAGTCGGCGACGACGTCTCCATGACATTCATCACCAGCAAGGAGGTGGGCAGCGCAGTGGGGTGGGGCCTGGTGAGGGGCGGGGCC